CGCCTCGTTTGGTTTCCCAGACGGACAGGCTAACCACTTCACTCTCGATACCCTACACCCCAGCTTGAGGCCACCAAAATTGTGATTGACACGACTAAGCCGTCCATTGAACGTGGTGAAAAGGGGAGAAGGCGCTGAGGGAGGAGCAGCCTCCTGGTCACCACGGGCCATCCTGCCGTATGTTGGCTTTCAGTCGGTTTAGATGCGTTCAGTGTTGGGAGCTCCCCTCATTCCTGAGTGATGATGCTGTCTCCCGCAGCACCGTCACTTCCGACCTCACCCACCCGTCCGTTGCAGGGGATGCGATATTCCGGTTAATCCCGTACATCATTACAACATCGTGCCGTTGATGGTGGGCAGGCCTCCCGGCGGTCATGAACACTGGACCTGGCATGACTTTCGAAGACCTCGAAAATATCAGGGTGCACAAAAAGACGCGTGCACCCACCTTGCCTGATTGAATTGGCGTGGACGGTTGCTGCCCTTGCCCGCGCAATGACACTGACACTGCTTGCCGTGTTAACCTCCATTAATCATGCATCTTAACGGATATAAGAAAGCCACGCCTGTAGAGGACATGTTTGAAGGTTCAAAGACAGCGCGAACAGAGACACCCTGACACACACAACACACACATCAACACACACACACACACACACACACACACACACACACACAACACACACACACACACACACACACACACACACACACACACACACCACACTCACACACACACACACACATACAACACACACCACACCACACACACCACACACACACACACCACACCCAACCCCCACACCCACACCCACCCACCCCACACCCACACCAACACCCACACCCACATATATATATATATATATATATATATATATATATATATATATATATATATATATCAGTAGAGCCCAGCCTTGCCGCGTCACCAGGGGGAGTGCGCCGGCTGCTGTTCCAATCCCGCGTCACAGCGCCGCCAAGTGAGTGCGGCTGCCGGCGCGTCTCAGAAGCTGAGGGGCTGTTTTTGCGTCGCTGCCGTCGTGCGGCGCCGAGCCACAGTACGCCCGGCGGGCGCAGCGCTGGAAAAGCCGAAGCGCGCAAGCCCGGCCCGGCCGGACGTCCCCGGCGCACGGCTCAAGCCTGGGAGGTGTCGGCGACAGGGACGGCGGCTCGTCGTCCTCACTGCGTGCAGGGCGGTGGTGACGCGTCTCTCTCACTGTAATGCGATGGCCCGGTCCGGTGGCAGCGCGTGCAGCCGGTGGCTCGAATCTGGCGACAGACGCGCGGTGCGGGAAGTCGGCGGCGGGCGAACAGGCGGAGAGTCAAACACAAACATCGCACAAATATGCGCGTGGGAGACGCTGAAAAACCGGGGTGCAGCATTCCAGCCACACACCTTTGACAAAGAGGCCCGGATAAAAACGGACGACCCGGTCAAAAGACGGAGATGAATTTATAAGTAGAGTCGAGCCCGTGCTAACAGAAGCATTCTCCGAGACCGGCGCACAGCGGGACGGGATTTTTCACGCAGGGGTGGCGCGGCTCGACTCGTTCCCGACATTACCAGCTCTCAGAGCCCGTCAGGGCCGGAGTCAAGACATCGGCACTGGTCGGCCGCCAGGAGCAAAATGAAAGAATGGTTTGCGCGCGGCGAAGCACCGTCGCTCTTGTATTGGACAGACACGGAGTTAAAATTGGCCTCAGAGGTGGGGGATTGGTGGCAAGTATCAAACTTTCCGCATTCCTGCAAAATCGGAATTCATCCCCTCGAAATTAGCCCTGATTTTTGGTCACCCTCTTGACTCTTCGAATTTTTTTCTTGACTCTTCCCGAGCTCGGCTCGGGAGAAGGGGTGCCCTCCGAGCTCTCCCGCTCATGGCTACGTCACATCCCTGGTAGCAGCATTGCCACATTATTTATTGGCAACACGATGCTGTGAGATCCAGGGGTGCGGGGCGATGGGGATGGAGGTCGTTGAGAACTCATAGCAGACGGAAGAACATCGCAAATTCGAATTGTTTTGACGTATCTGACAAATGGACTTCCCGTCAGGGGCATTCTACGGGGTTCTGCCTTCTCTTCTCCTAGCTGCTAATGCTTAATCAGGAAGTACTAGACGGTGGGAGGTCCCCCCCCCCTCCAGGATTACGCGGCGGCCGCTGGTGACTGATGGTTTCGAGTGTCAGGCCACGTGACAGCGCCTGGGAGGGCGGAGGGCTGCACTGGCGACAGTGGTGCGACGGACATCTGTCAGAACGAGGGTGATTCAGAGGGGCGGAAATACCAACGACGCCGAGGGCCAGAGGAGGGCGCCGGCGACAGGTGGGCGAGGTGGTACGTCATCCATCACTCTGAGGTCGCAGACTGCTGAGTGTGCTCGAGCCGCATTCAGTGGCACGAGATAACATAAACATCCGTCCGCGGTGTTTATGGAAGGATTCGTTCCTTTTAGCGAACGAGACTTGGCAGTTGCCGTCGGTGATGGAGTGGTAACTTCAGGAAAGTTATAAAGGGCTGCGTGGTTGACTTCATTTCACGCTGTTTTATGGCAATGCAACTTCAAAAGAAATGTCATTGTAAAGCGTACAAATGTTTAGTATTTCTCTCTATTTCCCGGAAACGTATAATATTTCTCGGCGAGTTGCACGTCTTCAAAGCGCCCTGGCCTATTCCTCACGAGGCATCAGTCGCCAGTACCGAATATCATTTTTATTTACATACGAGGTTTACCTACAGGTCAGGCAAATGCGTTACGAGATTCTGCCCGTTTCTTGCAGGTTAAACTTGCACCTTTGTGCAAGTTAAAGGGAGTGCTCCACATGTACAACGTTTTTTAACTGAAGCGCCCATTTTCAAGATAATTCTCTGATGTTTCACAGTTTGCATTTGTTAAGGCCTTACATCTGTTTCTGAACTAGGCGCACGCGAAATTGCGCAGACCACATCATGCCCCTTAATATCAAGTAATCCAAAGATGCATAACGTCATAGAAATGTCACACGGACTTCCCTCAATGGACATATTGTGGTCAAGGTCAAAACACACGTAACCATTGGCTTATCCGTGCCTGGAGTGGGTCAGCACGGATACGGATCGTCGCCTCAAAGAACGGCGGTTGGCTTTCAACACGCCTGGTGCCATAACTGCAAGCTTTGAACACGAACCTTTTTTGTCATGCATAATACAGGCATTTGGGCAATTCCACAACTTATGACGGAAAGAGGACTGGGAATGGAACAGTCTCGTAACCGAGAATGTAAATGCAAGCAAAAAAACATCCTATCACGGAAAAACATACAAAAACACCACGAGAAAGGCCCAAAATACGCGCTTATAACGAACATCGATTAGTTTCACACGCATCAATTAACAACCAACGTTGTGGCGAGTTGAAGCATAACAATTCAGTCAGCCTGTCCCCTACAGTGACAGCTCTGACATGGCCAGCCTGGCAGCGACTGTCTGGCGTTATTAAAACATATCATGACGCAATCAAACGATGACGTATTGATGAGCATGTTTACTAAAAAGTGCAATGGTGTTGTCTACAGGAGTTTTGTACTTCAAAGCGTATCAGTGAGTCTTTTCCATCATACCTGATGCTTGCCTCAACATCTTCAACGAGGAATATTTCCGTTTTAGAGATGCCAGGCGAAGAGGATAATGGTGTTGAACATTCGCCCAAAATACGCATGTATCATCGCGATCCTGCTGCTCATAGTGTCTGTGAAATGGATAGGAGGCTGGAACAATATGCCATGGCGTTCAATACCTGCCGTAAGCCCCCCCCCCCCCCCTTCCGGCGTCTGTGGAATCGCAGGATGGCCACTAGCGTCAGCCCGGCCGGCAGTTTATTTGAAATGCTTGGTGCACGCTGCATATACTATGTAAATGCACATTTGCCCGTGCCAGACTTGACATTGCACGTGCATTAAAGCGGAGCGAGCGGCTTGTATGGTCTTGTAACTATATACGTGTGACACAAACAAACACTCCGCACATGTCGAGTGACGGCCCCGCGTCCAACGCTTTTTGCCATGCAGGCCGGATTGTATGCCACCCGCTGTCGGACTCGCTGCCATCTGGCGTTAGCATACGTCGGGGTAGGGTAGACGAGGCGCGATGGGTACGCCCGAACGTGACAGTTTCGAACAACTTAACACGAGGCTTTGATCATGTGCTGTCACGTACACACACATACCCTTTCCTGCCTCGCACCACGGCAGCGCGGTTTGTTACGCAGCCAGTTTGACCGGCGGTAGGCGGGAAGACGCCTGGAGACTGCGACGCTCTCTCCTGGCACCGATGGGGGCCGGACGCGACGCATGCCGCGCACGCGCCGCCCACGCCGCAATTACCATCGCGGCCGCGTATGCGTCGATAATGAAATGTGCCGGTGGGGCGGACCGTCGGTGACGGATGACGTCAGGCGCCCGCCTGGGAAGGACGCACAGTCTGAGCTGGCGGCCCCGCACGCCCGCCATTGAAGACGACCGTCCGCACGCTGGCGGCGGCCGCGCCGGCACCGGGTCTCGGCCGCCCCGGTGAAGCGCGTGACTGGGAACCCAGCGGACGGATCGCAGCTCACGCCGCGCCCAGGTCGTAAACGTCCGTCAAAGCGCACCTTACTGCTGTGGAAGAGGTCACTGAGCGCGTGGAGTAAGCCAGCCTGGTCGGGTGACGGCGCCCTCAAAACTCTTTCATACCGAGACGGTTCTGGCGGCGTCTGGGGTCGAGTTAGCGTGCCGAGGTCAATAAACATGTCCCCGACGGAGGCGGGGTTCTTGGCAAAAACCATCGCAATGAAGGCCATTAGGGTCCTTTAAGCCTATAAAGATAATTTAGGTTGTTAATGTATTCCGTTAAGCCGCTAGATGGCAAACCGTTTTTTCGATATGTTGAATGACAGGAGACTAAAAACTGTTGTCAAAGGTTCACAAGTTTGGGTCATGCCACAACTCAGACGTACAGCTATTTTAACGTTTCATTCAACCCATAGCTTTAGTAAAGAACTAGTGACAGGTTGTTATGCTTAGAAATAATGATACCTTTATTCTTATTTTAACATAATTTTAAAATACGTACAGGCATAATAACGACGTAATTACCGTTTTATTCGACAGGTTTCGAAGTTCACCATGCGAATGAGACAACGCTTCTGCAAAGTAACCTTCAACCTGTAAAACCTTGCTTTCAGCGTCCAGCCGGGCCTTCGAGGCGGCGCGGAAAAGGCGCGCACCGGGCGGGGGCGTGGCGCGCGCCAGCGGTGCCGCCGCCTCACGGTCGCGCCTGACTACGTGCCCTGTTCTGCCTTCACAGACCATCAGCTGTTCGAAGAGGCACTGAACAGCCTATCACGCATCAACATGAACCACTCGTGCAGCGTGCCGGCCGAGCAGCTGGTGCGCGTGAGCGAGGAGTTCCCCAGCTCGAGGCTGCAGTACCTGCCGACCAGCGTGCTGCTGCGCCGCTGCTCCGACCACAGCGGCTGCTGCTACGACCACCAGACGTGCGCGGCCAGGGCTGCCGTCAAGGTCCAGCGCACGGTCATGGTGAGGGCCGCGGCGACGTCGCGCATACGCTTGGGACGGCGTCCCTGCACGGCGCCTGGTCGAGCGGCGGGAGGGCCGCTTTTTTGGCGGTCTCGTGACAATGCTCTCGCGGGAGTTCTCTGTCCGATGACCTGCGTCTTGATCATTGCAAGGACGTTTGGGTATTGGCTTGCCATTGTGCTGCAAGGTCGGTCAGGTTGCCACAGGTCAGTAAGCCACACGAGCTACAGAGTGTGTGCAGGCGAGGTGCACAGGGTGTCAATTTTCCAAATGACGATGCACTTTTCTAGAGATAGCGGCATACCCAGATTCAGTGAATAGTTAACAGTTGGCAATATATTATGAGATGCACAAGCCAATGCTAGTTTATCCCTCATCGATAATAAGGCAAGTGACCAACTCCAAAGTCGGTCTCGCAATATGTTATGGCAATATATTATGAGATGCACAGGCCAATGCTAGTTTATCCCTCATCGATAATAAGGCAAGTGACCAACTCCAAAATCGGTCTCACAATATATTATGACAATATATTATGAGATGCACAAGCCAATGCTAGTTTATCCCTCATCGATAATAAGGCAAGTGACCAACTCCAAAATCGGTCTCACCCACCGTCTCGACCAATTTCATGTAGCGTTTAGGCCTCTTCTCTCTGACGTGTATGGTTCACCTATGCTCATTTTGCCATCAGGCTGATCTTGTGCATCATTGCAGCAGACCGGAAAAATCCAACAACTCTTCCTTCCTCCAGGTGCTGGACTACGTTTCTGGGCCCTTGTTTCTAAAATATCCGAAGAAGCTGACGTTCGCAGAGCACACCAGCTGTCACTGCGTGGACCGGACGGCATCCGCCTCCTGTCCCAGCACCTTCACACCGGCGCTCAACGACGACCGGTACCAGCGCTGCACGGCCGTCCCGAGCATGCAGCACCACACACGCTGGTTGCCGATCAGGCGTGGCGGGCTCGCAGACGGGGGCCGGCGTGTCGCACTTACCAGACAGGATAGGACAGGACGTGACAAGACAGGACAGGACAGGACAGAACAGGACAGGACAGGACAGGACAGGACAGGACAGGACAGGATAGGACAGGACAGGACAGGACAGGACAGGATATGACAATGACTGCTGACCACGCGAGCCGTACAACACTGACCACCGTCCACAGAGGACAGGCACACGGCAGTGACTGCTGACCACCGTCCACAGAGGACAGGCACACGGCAGTGACTGCTGACCACCGTCCACAGAGGACAGGCACACGGCAGTGACTGCTGACCACGCGGGCCGCACAACAATGACCACCATCCACAGAGGACAGGCGCACGGCAGTGACTGCTGACCACGCGGGCCGCACAACACTGACCACCGTCCACAGAGGACAGGCACACGGCAGTGACTGCTGACCACGCGGGCCGCACAACAATGACCACCATCCACAGAGGACAGGCGCACGGCAGTGACTGCTGACCACCGTCCACAGAGGACAGGCACACGGCAGTGACTGCTGACCACGCGGGCCGCACAACAATGACCACCATCCACAGAAGACAGGCGCGCGGCAATAAGTGCTGGCCAGACGGGCCGTGCAACACTAACCACCGTCCACAGAGGACAGGCACACGGCAACAAGTTCATGGCCAGACGGGCCGTGAAACACTGAAGAGTGTTCAGTGCTCGGTTCAGCGTCTCTATTTAAGCAAGACAGATTTTCGTAAGGGAGCGGTTCCCCGAGGGCATGTTATCCCCGAATGTGTCACTCTGCAGCTGTGCTGGATGCCGACCACTGCTCCGAAACAGATAAGGCCAGGTGTCTGGCAGGTAGTGAACAGAGCCGCCGGTGACACAGTTATTGATATCGCTGAACACCTTACAAGTGTTGTAACCAAACATCATTCATATTGCATAACACCAACATAACAACATAACGTATTGATATTGCACAACAACAACGTAACGACAAAACTATATGCTGTTACACATAACTACAGATCACAACACATAAAAACGTAACCACATAACATAACTGCAAATTAACTGTTTACAATGTAACTGCATTACCGCTATGCACGTCATTATGGACCGGTCTCGCGTGCCCCGTCAAACACCGCGTGCATTGTTCCTGTCACGTGGCTGAATATTGAGATGTCACGCGGCCAATTAGAGGTCATCTGTCGATACCGGTAAACAATTCCAACGGCTGATATGGCTTGGCACGCGCACTTTGTCGCGCAAAAACATCAACACAAATGTACAACAAAAGTCTAACACCGGATTAGTGGCACTTTTACGAGTATTGCAGGCGTAATGATGTGGCGTGGCATATGGGTAAATCCTTTAACAAAATAACTACTTCTTAACAGTTAAGGCATCCGTCCTTTAAAAATTTGCCCGCACGGAAAAGAAAGCCCCATGCTTGGATCTCATGATGGTAACCCACTCTTGCTTTTCAGGACGACGGGCGACCGACGGAGAACAGGCCAGTCGCGTCACAGCTCTCCAGCCAGTCAGATCCGGCGTCGCGAGTACGTGGCTCCTGAGCACAGCCGTAGCTTAGCGTGGTGCATACGTGGGCCGTCATGCCGCTGCCCAGTCCTTTGCAGATTATGCACACAGCACCGCTGGTTTTCGCGTCACTAATGGACGATTAATGCCTCCGTGTGAAAAGCCCGTGGAACCTTTGATAACATCGGAGACATCACGCAATGATTTAATGGAATGCTCGTGGCCGGGTATCACTGAACAGAACATTCTAAAGCGAGCTAGGTCATCTGAGGCACAAAGCCGGCAAGACGCTGGCTGTATATGTGGGAGCTATGGGCGTGGGAATCACCGGTTGTCGTGCGGATTGCACCAAAGCCCACGCAGCTGGAGCTAGGTTCCTGCTGATAATCTAAACAACGAACCAGCCCAATGCATGCGAAAGCTGTAACATAAGTGAAATGTCATACAAGTTTGGTAGTTATAGCTTGTTAAATTTGTATAAGATAGGTGAATTATTTTGACGAGGGTTAGAAGTAACCATTTATAATGTATGCGCACACATATATATATATATATATATATATATATATATATATATATATATATATATATATGTTATATTCGGCTAATTTCTTAGACCAAGATCTATTCGGTTAATTTCTGCTTTGACACTCTTTGTCAAACACCTGGTATACATAACATGATCTGATCAGTAGAGGCTACGGTTATTTTCCTTTGCTGCGATATATACAGGCTACACACGCCGAATGCACAAATAGAAGAACTGCAGTCGCAATGGGAAGGGTAACAGAGATTGGGCACAACTGGTATTTATTTTAAGCTCAGCCTCTGACGAAAATTGTTGCGGTTTTCATTGGTGCTGACTGCCAAAACTGTGTGCATCGACATGTGTAATATTTTGGCGTGGTACATAGGCATGACGAGCGGCGTAGACATGTAATATTAATTGGAGGCTAACTTTTTGATGCCAAGCTTTTGCACACATCATATTTTATGCATAATCGCGTTGCACCCCTCATTTCAAGCTCATAATGCACATGTGTAACAAAACATAAAGAGGTAACCAGTAAAATACAGTTAAGTTAAATGGAGGTGTAGCTGGCGAAACCAGCGGATTGATGGTTATGGCAAGTTTGCAGGCGCTATAAACAGGGCTGTAAATCGTCGCGGCCTCAGCATCACTAAATAACAAGACGTAGTTACTTGAATAAGTCATGAAAACCTGATCTGTTACCGCAAATCATTCATACCCAGGAATCATTTTTGAATTTACAAATCATTTGCGCTCAAAAGATGGTTAAGTGCTCGTGAAATGTAACGCATGCTATATATTCAACTAGATTAAGCCACCTCCATATAATGACTAAAAACGTGCTATTCCCTAAGCAACATGTGTTTTGAATTTATTTTCGGTCACATACCTTGCTCACAGCTTCGAGATAGAGAAATATCGATCATGTTACACATGTTGCACTCTACCGCTTTTTCATACCTATGTATTGTTCTGAAATATTATATATCTCGATGCACAGACTTCGATAGCCAGCAACAAAGCATGCCTATAGCAGTCTTGGCGTATTTGTACTTTTCGAATCTGTAAGCAAGGCACGTGACCGAAAATTCGTGCAAGATTTAGCTTTCTGAACTACTAATATTTATATGATAATTGTAATGAAAGCATGTATTTGAATAATCCTTTACGTTAACAAAATGCCATTTTATAGCGTTTGTAACCATCTTCCGACGAAGTAAGCAGAACGGATCTAATAGTCAAAGCATTGAAACCGGAGGCGATATCTACCCCTCCAACTACTCCCGCATCCTCTACTGGCGCACGAGAGTTTTTGTGGCTGCTTTTGCATGTTTTTATATGGCTGCTCAAGTCCATTTGAAGTTAAACGTGCCTTTCTTTGAGTACGAAACATTGCAAGATTTGTTTTACTCACTTGGCCCTCCCAAACGCACCGTAGATCCAACACCCAAGACTGATATATGCCAGAAGAGAATTCACTCTCTGGTAGTCATTGTGAGTCCTAGAGCGACAAAAACGGCCCAAACGGCTCAACAGATGTTGCATTGTAAGGGGATCGACTTAGCCCCGTCATGGAATTGAATTGAAAGACATTACGTGAAAATGGGGTCAACGCAGCATATATAAACTGCTACAAAAGATGCAGTTGGAGCACCCCGTCTTCTTTGCACATTAAGGGTAGCCGTTTTTACGTTTTTTTTTGCGCATTCTCGTGCAGGACTACCCTCTTTGTCGGGTGGCCCAACCCATCTTGATTTACCCCCTCATTCTATGGAGAAAACATGGAAAGGCGACATGGAAGTCCTAGGTCTACTAACAATGGTGTCACGATTATCACTTGCACGAGGGTCGGATCAAGTTCTCTCTTACAGCTGATCTGTCAGGTGGTGGCAAAGTTAAATAATGTCTTTGTTGAGCCAATCAGGCTTCGTATAGGTCTCAGAAGCAAACCTAGTTTAGGCCGAAGAATGTCACCTTTCGCTCCGGCGGATCACATTAGATCACATGAGGTCACATGGGGCCACCTTACAATCTGTTATAGCCTTGAATGTGGATGACTTTGCGCATAATTTGTTATGCACGACTGTGGCATGGATGTGCTATAGAAGGGTATCCATGTCATGATCAGCATTTGTAATATATTTGCTTTTTGGGTGTTTGATTACCTACGTGCGAACCAGTTGAGCGCTTAGAATTGTCATGACCACCGTGTCTTCACAGCCTGTATCTATCGACTGCCCTTCTGTATTTGGTAAAACTCGCTGACCTGTCGTAAGCATCCAATTTACATTACGACTGCACCAAATTATTACACGATACATTGTAATGCTTAAAGTTAGCCATGAGTAAATACGCGCGAGTGTCATTAAGGATCAGAACATCTGAACTAGCATTCGCAGGCGGTGGAAATGAACAACGATGACAGAATGTGGCTCGCCCTCCCGCTCCAGGTGCCGCTGTCCGAGGGAATTCGTGTCCCGCCCGATGCCGGACGGCAGCTGCAAGTGTGACTGCATCGACGGCAACACGAAATGCATCAGAACCAAACGAGGCCAGACATACATCCGGGAAGAGCAGCATAGGTAAAACATCAGGAAATGGATCAGCGTATTTTGAAGGACTGTGATAATCCTTGCAGGGCCTGAAAAACCTAACTGCTTAACCAGAAATGTGCCAACGGCATGGTTCACGGGCTTCAAGCTAGCCCGCCACACATCTGCATGCTCTTGAGAGAAAAACAAAACTTTTTTAGGCCCGCAATACTGGAGATTCAAGGCTGCGAATAGGACGCAAGGTTTAAAAACCGAAAACGTATGGTCATTAAGTTGACCATTGGTACTCAGAATATTAGGTAGATGGCGTGCCACCAGAGACACATACCCAATATTCTTTGTCTTTGTAACACACAATATTTACAGAATATACACCACGACATAAACCTATTCTGAATAGATAATTATTAAACGATTTTTTACTCAGAATGCTCATAAATAAATAGATAATAAATCAAGTAATAATAAATCATAACATAATTTCTGGTGACAATCAGTGTTCAAAACAAATAGACGAACGGATTAAAATGTGGCATGTTCGGCTGCGTTGTAAATTACTTATCGAACTAATCTGGATAATCAATGATAACATTGGGTCTGCCTACACTCACCATTGTTTTGGATCGCCGAAGACGAAGCCAGTTGATATATATATATATATATATATATATATATATATATGTATGTATGTATATATATTTCTCATGTTGCATATGCATTGTATATACATATGCACACATGCATATGTGCAGTGTTGCATATGTATATGCTTGTTGCCTTGGTGATTGTGCACGTGCTGTTGGTGTACATGCTGTCGTGGATGCTCTCGTTGCTGCACGCTTCATGCTCGTGCATGTCTTGGCGATAGTGCACGTGCTGTTAATGTTGCATAATGTATTGGCTCGCATGGTTTTTGCTGGTTGCATGCTTTCGTAGGTGCTGCCATTGCTGCATACTGCATGCTCTCATGCTAGCTCCCAAGGCTGCATATTGTGTTTGGCCAGTTGCCGGTCAGTGAGTCCTTTGCATGTGCTTCAGAATGAGTATCTAATACGACTGCGTACTACTTCCGAATAATCTACAGTTTGGCCGTCGGCAATATATATATATATATATATATATATATATATATATATATATATATATATAAACATGCGTACAGCTAGGAGCTGGTCTGATGGTAGGGTGTAAATGCAGCATATGTAAAAAGGAACTGGAAGTAGTAAGTAGTAAGAAGTCCAAGCAAGTTCATTGATTTTAAAAAGGAGGCCAGCATGTGCGGTTTGGAGGCAAGGTAGAGTACTACATGCATGTATTGATTTAGCAGGCAAACGATGAAATTTGCATGTTAACACAATTATTTTGAGTCATGGTCAGACATAACCAACATCCCTCGCACCAGGAAGCATGGTTAGAAGATGTAAAGTAATCATGTCAAAATGTCATGAGAATGCGCAACATGAGTGTTGGATCACGCCGTTGAAAACCGAACTGCTGCTGAGTGAAGAAATGTACTTTCACCAGTTACAGTAACATAACAGGCATGGTCGCGACTTTTATCAGGAATTGACCTGCAGTACGAAATGAAAATGCCCTTAGAACAGAGCGAGTGGCACTGCTGCCGAAGTGTTCATAAGCTTGCCTTCCTGTTTAAGGCGCTGTTATGGGTATGACTGGGCTAACATTTCCAAAAGTTTATTTCCCAAAGTTTTCGACATACTTGGTGTGGTGAATGACCATTGACTTTCATTTTCGCTTTTTTAAAGCATTCATTTATTTGGCCACCATGGTTGTGTCAATGAAATAACATGAAAAGTTAGGCCCGGTGTGATTGTAAACTTAAGCCTTATCTTTGAATTTCCAGCCAAAAATATTGGGTTATCCTTAACTAGCATTGGTTGGAGGGTATGAGAGAGTCCAAAACGGGCAGGACCCTTACCGGGCTGTCAGAAAAGAACTACAAATCGACACTCCCGCAACGAATCCGTAAAGCGATACGGTATGCGCCTCGAGAGCCCAGGTGACGCCACCGGCCACTCGGAACTAGATCCTGACTCATTGTCTAGAGTCGATGACATCAACACAGCAGGCATCTGTCGGTCCGGAAATCCCAGGGGCCCGACAGCGAAGATTACATGCAGGACCTGAGGAGGGCTTACTCACTGTCAGGTTTGGACACATGCAGACACATTGAAAACATCGGACACATTAGACCTGGCTACACTGCACACCTTGCTTCACCATATCTGGTGCTCGCTTCAATACCTTCAAATATGAAACGTTCCGTTTAAGTCTACTTGCATACAGCTTGAGATGATTTCGTTCGTTCCTCTGAAAAAAACCGGGGTTAAAGCCTTAGTAAAGATGACTTGGTTCGTCGAAATGAAATCAAACCCGTCATTGCGATGTCGTTATCGCAGTGATACAAAGGCTTTGAATGAAACAAATACATGACGAAGGTATGAAACTATATCGCGTCGCACGGATGGGCATTTTGCAAGATGAGTTGCGGGAAAAGGATCAACCACTCACACGTGTCGGAAAATGCCCCAAGCCTGGCATAACATCTGGGGCCTCCTTGACGTGACCTGCTTGACGCGTACGCCTGAAAAATCTGGGACCTTGTCAGCAGAGTTGGAAATGATGTTGCCGCCTCCCTCAGTCATGTTGGAAATTTCACCCATCTAACACCAAGTGGTAGACACGAGGGCGAGCCAACTCTCTCACGTCCTCTGTTGCGTTGAGTTCTCGTGCGAAAGAACACTAGTGGAATGCAGGCTGGAGGGACAGGACCGTGGCGCGATAGAGTTCATCAACACCTTGCTCTGTCAACTAACTCACTTTGAGCCAACGAACTGCTCGTTTCACCACACTTCGCTTCCCGAACCGTCTGCCAGCGCGTGGACCCCATCACGACGGGTTAGGGCAATGATTTGAACACGATTGGGCCGGTGTTGTGGCAGATTAATGCATATGCTATGTGATAGGTCACATAAGCCTGGTCAATAACACTTGTATCTTGGTCGATAGCACTTGTACTTATCAAAGAAAAGCAATGCACCGACTGCCATATTTGACCTGCGGACCGACAAGCACAGTCATTATGAACTATCGGTGGCGAACAAGGCCCACTTGGGAGACGATGCGAACATGGCGAGTTATTAAAGGGCGTGTTACGCAGTGCTATGAGGTTTTGAACTGAAACAGCCACCTTGAAGATCATTCGGTACAATTCACAGCCATTCTCAAGACCTAACCCCCTTTAGTTCCGGAGCTATACGGTCGCAAAGATGGGGAGTCTTTCCATAAGCCATGTGACGATCAAGGCCATTAAACATGTAATAGTCAAGTCGTTCATTTCCGGCGTTCGTGAGCAGAATTTCCAGACATAACGGCCGTCAGTTGGCTCATATCAATGCTGTTGTCACGGAGAAACCGAGAATATGTGTTGAAGAGTATGTCACTGGTTAAGTGAGCGTTCATTATCACATTTGACCTCCGCTTCAATATCTTCAACTGTGAAACATTTCTTTTAAGAGTAGTTCGGTACGCTAACACATGGCAGACTCACCGCACGAACTTTAAGGATCGCACGACTCCCGCGTTTCACATCTGTTTCCTCGTGCCCCCTCCACCAGGTGCATCCTGAGCGGCGAATGCGACCCGCCCGCCTGCGCGTACGGCAAGTACGGGCGGCGCGCCAGCCGGTGCCCGCGGCGGCGCGAGAAGCCGCCTGCACGCTGGCTCAAGTTCACCGTCTGAGGCCAGCTCAAGGCCGACCTACACGGCCGCCGGCGGCGTGTGTCTGTGTGTGTGAGCCTGTGACGTCATCGGGACACAGCGCGCCGGCCGTGGTCGCCATGGCGCTGAGGTTGCGGCGCCCGCCGCCAGCGCCGGGCGCCTCGGGTGGCCTCAGACCGCTGTCGCAGTTGCGCCAGCAGTGCGTGGAGGAGCTCACCAGCGGCCCATCACTTGCCGTGTTAAGCCAGTCCGGCCAGTGACTAGAGGGCTGGGAGCTGGCCCGGCCCGGGAGTGACTGTCTCCACGGTGGTGCGCCCAGCGCGCGGACCCCGAGCGGCACCTGCGCGGTCATCCACGCAGCTTCAATACACAGGAGTTGGCGCCATGTGCCATGACCAGTGATTGTTATCCACTCACGGATTCGCTAGTGGATGGTTCGTTGGATGATATGCCTATCCACCATGTAGATTATTGCCGCACTCTACTAAAGGCGTATGACTATGTCCCAGACTGCGCTTTGAAGGAAGTGGCTGTTTTCACTCGCCGTTAGGGTCATCATGAACATTCTCTTGCTTGCCGTACGCCCAGCGGATTTTGTGGATGCCAACATTTAATACATTTCGTATAAAAGTACCTACTGTGAGTTTTGGGTTACGATTTTTGATGGAAAACGGAATGTATCGCAACGCGTTCCGTCATAAGACACAGCTGAGCGTGTGTGGCACATCGTAAAGCCTTAACGATCTAAATTGTGTTCACATCATGTTGAGGTGCATACTGCTTCAACCCTAAAGCGAATGCAGTTGACCACCACTGAAACATTGATGGCACTGTTTCGACGTTTTGAAGATGTGGAGGTGTCTTCGAGATAGCGCAGCGTCCGCATGAGCTGACTCAGATGGCACTTCAAAAGAAGCAAGTAGTGCTGGGCATTGGGCGCTCCTGAAGCACTGCAACGCCGTTATGGTCCGAATAAGACACTGCGAAATGCTTTTGCGCCCGTTGAAATGCTGAGCGTCTCTCCAACCTTGCTCCTCTGATCGGAATGGGGTTTCCTAAAGCGTGGTGAAAATCTTCAGAGACACTCCGGCCTCATGAAAACAAATGGGCTTTCCAAAGAAACCAGGAGGATATCTGCCGACAAGTATTGGCACTGGGCTGGCCCGAAAATAATCTTTTGCTCCGATAATCGTTTTTTTATTCCTTGATCATTTACTACGTCAGTTCAAAATGCCTAAACCCAGCCATTTCTGAAAACAAATCAATCGGTTCACAATGCTATAAGGTATGCGAATTGCCACACATGGGTTAGGTCATGTCATTAACAGTATTTACTTCGTAGTTTCTTTGGACTAAGTAGGCTTTGGTCGAGTCGTTTTTTCGATGAAATGCAGTTTTACATGACATTCCATTGTCATTTATATTTGCTTGTCTCATTGCGCTTGTGCTTGACCCTCTTGGAAAAAGTCGGTGGCATCGCCCCTGCTCTGAAGTGATCAGAAGACCACGGACGGTAAAGAACGGATAAACGGTACGGGGCTCGGAAACGAAACAATAGGGTGGTAACATCAGATAATACATAGATCTGTGGCAACAATGTTGCATATTCGAGAACCTAGCAGACTAGAAAACTCAAACCACAGATTCCAGTCAGCGATCATACTGCCGTGAGGTCAAACGAGGCCCGCCAGGTAACCCCCCAGGAATTCAGGAATCGCCAGATTACGACTGCGTAACACGCTGTATTTTGGGGGCTAAGAAGACTGAAAAATTAGTGCATATCTTTGCTACGGCACATCATTTTTAAACATCTAAAACCGCGTTTACATTAACGACGCTCTTCAGCAGACTGGCACCATTGTACGCATCTTTAGCGCCACGAGATACAAGTCTTAGTTAAAGTTACCACCACAAGATGTCAGGAGTGCGGCCCGGCACGAGGCCAGCGGGCATCGATCGGCGGAGCGCGCGCATCGTCTGGGGAGGGCCAGCGGTGGCGTCTGGGCCGTTGGAGGGGAGGGGCGGGCGCGCGGCGCCGACGGCCGCCACTGGCAATCGCGGCTGGCAGCCGGCGGGGGGGCGGAGGTACGAGTGGTGGCCGCGTCAGCCCAGTGAATCGATGGGATGATGTGCTGTCCGGTCGCGGCCGAAGGGTGCCGCCGTTGCGCTCGTGCCGCGTGCTGCCGGCGCGGTCATGAGTGAGGCCGAGGCTGCTGATGCGGGTCGCGTGAACGGAGTTGGCCGCCACTTCTCGATGGGGGGAGAGGTGGCGCAGGACGAGCGGCCCGCGCAGAAGCCGCTCCGCAAGACCAAGTCCGTGTCGTTCCACAGTGCAACATGTTTGAGGAGCGAGCGCAAGGTGTCCAGCGGTGAGTACGGCGCCGGCGGTGCTGGCCCGCCGCAGAGGAGCCCAGCCGCCGGTGATTCCGCCGACGGGGGCTGGGGTTGTGACGCGCCCGGCGCAGCCCCCGGCGGGTGTCACTAGGTCAAGGTGATATCTGTCAGCGCGGGGAGCCCAGTGACCTCGCGCTGCGCCCTGCGGATTGGGAACAGTGACATCCGCAGCGGATGCTTGTGGAGCGGCGCGAGCGTCAGCTGCAGCAGAGCGCGCCGGCAGACCTGTCTGTGTTGTCTCACTCCCTTAGTCCCGACCACCCACACCCTGCTGCCTTCCTTCCCGGCCGCCAGGAATACATGGATTCGGCGGAGACATGATGCACTGAGCGGGCCACCACGGGCCCGGTGCGCATGACGGCGCGCATGTTTGGACTGGGGTGAGCCCTGTTCAGGTGATGGAATGCACTTCAGCTACCTCTAGGATGAAATTATTGTTTTGGCCGTGATCAAGGCCGTTGCCCCTGACGTTTTCCTGTAATCAACCGCTTTCTGCGATTTTCATTTTGGATTTTGTTAACGTCTTCGCAAACCACTGTTAGTTTTATACATAAGATGCACGCACATTAACATGTATGTGCATATATATACATAGACACAACACACACACACACACACACACACACACACACACACACACACACACACACACACACACACACACACACACACATACACACACACACACCACACACACACACACACATATATATATATATATATATATATATATATATATATATATATATATATATATATATATATATATATATATATTATACAGTCCCGTACATGTTAGGCGTCTGGTGTTTCCAACTGGGGTCTCCTCTTGGGCTCCTGTGTTTTCCATGGGGCCTCTCGTTCACCAATGGGGCCTGATGTTGGTCATCTAGCCTTTGCTACGCGGCCGATATTGTTTCTGCGTGCCTTCAGGGCCATTCTTTCAATTAATGAGATGTTCTGCTTCCGCCATCTGGATCTCCAGTCGACATGATGGGGCCTCCTAAAACCAGTCGACATGATGGGGCCTCCTAAAACCAGTCGACATGATGGGGCCTCCTAAAATGTCATGAGGGAAGCGGACATGCTTTGCCCCCTTGGACAGTGGAGAGGGCGTCGCCCAGCCCCTCCCCCTGGCGCCACCACCCCTGCTGGTGATCAATTCGCCTCAGTGATGATGTAAGTGGTGACCTTACGCTAACCAGTGACCACGACAGCTCTGGTTCTGGCTTCGATCCCACGAGGGATAAAATATCGTGTCTGGTTTCTGGGCAATGCTTATGTTTTGTTTTGCATTTCGCCAAAGAAGTCGCTTCACGTGGATATGCACGATCACGGACGGACGTGGGCGGACGTGCGGCGTACATGGACGGCCATGGACGGACGTGCAGTGTACATGCACGGCCATGGACGGACTGCAGTGTACATGCACGGCTATGGACGGACGTGCAGTGTACATGCACGGCCCTGAGTGGACGTGCAGTGTACATGCACGGCTATGGACGGACGTGCAGTGTACATGCACGGCCCCTGAGTGGACGTGCAGTGTACATGCACGGCTATGGACGGACGTGCAGTGTACATGCACAGCCCTGAGTGGACGTGCAGTGTACGACGGCTCCCGGTCCCCTCCCTGCCATCTCGAGGACTAGACATGCGGAGAGCAGCCGAGCGGAAAGTAGCACTACACAGCTCGGGTAAACGGCACGAAAGCGTGCGTGTGGCTTTTCATGAGTCGAACTAGAAGTGGTGCGGGAGAGAGCCGTGGCTGTGGTATTCTGCCCTCCTGTAAAATTTTTGCCATCGCGATGCAACCACAGTTGCACGTGTGGTCAGCTAAACGGTCGTAAAATTCATAGCATCACGAGATAAATGGGTAAACTTCCCAAAAGTCTTCAAAACTACTTTCATATTCATGTGTCTTCAAAACACTGTTTGTTTAAATTTGGGGCAAGTATTTCGTTGAAGCCAAAAATGGCACACGCTGAAATCGCTCAAATAGAATAAAGACGGCAGCGACAAAAACTACAACTCGGTTTTCGTATGAAATGCGCTGTGCGTACAATATATAAAACTGACGAGAAAACATGAGTTTCTTCTGCGCGGGGCGTTGATCACTGTTTGTTTCATTACCGGCGTCACAGTTCTGTTCGATGTCCTTAAATCACTGTGTACAGACGTTTCTCGATGTTTTAAAAAACCCCGCACTCGTCTGGAGCTGCCAACAAGTACTGAGACCTTTGGCCCAATGGGCCCCGCTAGATCCAAGGTTGGGGAGCATGGCCCCAAAAGCCCCTCCCCTCGGATTCTCGGGTATGCCACTGACCGTAAACAGCCCGTAAACAGCCAGCCAACGCCAATGACGTGGACAGATGCTGTGTTCGTCAGCCACTGGAAAGGTAAAATGATGGGTAATTATTAGCTATGCCGTGAGATAGCATGACGTCACCACAGCGCACATCGAATGCGCCCGCGGTTGAAACGTTGACCACAGCTCCACGTCTGATGGGCAGTTTAACAAAGACCAGACTTCTGCAACGGCTGCGAGACAAATTTGAGCGGCCGAAAATGACACGGCTTCCAAGAAGTGGGTAATTTTCTTATTGTGGCCGGGTAGTGACAGCCTGACTAAAGCATTGCGAACCAGACCAGGAATGGAGTGAAAGTAGTAATTGAGATCCTTTATTATTTCTCCAGATTTATACCCTGCTGTGCTGAAGGAGCAGCTAAACTGCATGCATCATGGCAGACCCAATATTACAACGGTAGTAAGACTAAGAGTGATCTGTGACGTGCGTAATGTCATCATTCAGGTCAAATCCTACCCTCTTCAGACGGCAGCCAGACGTCTGCAAGAGGGTGCATGCTGGGAACACCACACAAAACCCGTAGATATCACTCGTCACCGTGGCATGGAATGCTTCCCAACTTGCCTTAAGATAAGTCAAACCGGGTCGTGCAAGACAATCAATCATTCTTATAAAATATGTCACGTGGCTTATGTCTCCTAGCGTGACCTTAGGCGACCTTGCCTGTATGCCTATATGTGCCACCTCAACATTAGCGGTATCTGATCACCCTCAACGATCAGATACCGCTAATGAAACGGACTATTTTTTTGCAACTCAAACGATAGGACAAGTGTAGATTACCGCACGCCTGGAAGCGATACGCGGTCGCCACAGCCCCGGCGAGGTGCCGTCGCTCGTGGTCAACGAAAGTTAGTATTGTACAAGTTTCCCAATTAGTGTGAACATGCTTAAAACTGTGGCATTGAAAACGTCAGGATCATTGGCTTAGTGGTTCAAAGATTATTACGGCGAAACGACACGGAGGTCAGAGATTGGAGACGTCTAATGCGGGTCGTAAAATCCATCTGAGGCTCGCCCCCCTCATTGGATCGAAGTGAAACTCGGGAATTGCAAGTTCTGTGCTTAGATTGTATGCACTTAAAGATCAAAAGTGATCAGCCATGGTTCGAGAAGGCGATGTTTTACGTGCACGCTGCTATGGCTTCTTAATGTTTGCTGAGTGATGTAGACCTTACGCCAATAACCAGTATTGGTAAATATGCATGGATTCGCTCCCACTTCACTAGGTCGAACTCTTCAGTTCAAAATCACATACGTTGTTAAGTGCATTCGCGTGGAACATTTTTCACATGGATACTGACGGTACTCATATCCTCATTCCTCGGGAAAAAGAGAGAAAGGAGGTATAAATGCGTTGATATTTTGGCAACATTCCTTTGTCGATTTGTTTTAAATGGCAGTGAATCCATGCACATTTGTCAAAAACTGGTTATTGGCGTTAAGTCTACATCACATAAAGGAGCGATAGCAGGCGTGCGAATAAAACATCGCCTGCTTCAACCACGAAATCTCAAAAATTTAAGAAACGCTTGGTTTTGTAGCTGGGATGTTCAACATAGGCATTCATTCAGATGGGAGCAAATAGGCATCATTGAACATGGCGTTTGTGGCTTGGCTGTTGTTGAGTGCCCAGCAAGTTAACTTGCAAATGCTTCTGTGAGCTAAAATATTAAAGCCTAATGCACTGTCAGCCAATTTGTGTATTGTGAGCTAACCGGATTAACGTGTAGTTGTGGCAAATAAGTTGGCGCTTGAAAATAAACGAAATAAACACACAGCCTTCGGTTACAGTCCACCCATCTCGCAACGTTGCCAATAAAAACTGCCCGAAGACCCACGAGCTTCTTAAGCCGGCTCCTTGCGGGGCTGCTGGTAAGAGGCAGCCAGTTGAAGCAGATTCAGGTGGGGCATTTCTAGTGCGTCGGACAAAATATGGCTCTTGATACTGCACTGAACACGCCGCCAACGACATATGGTAACGTCGCGTGAAAATTGTTTTTTGTTTAGTCCGCTAAAGCAAGCCGTCGCAAAAGGGACAACAGAGACATTTCAGAACATTTCAGAAACCTCAGGCAAACTGTCATTGCATCAACGCACCCAGCGGAAAAGTGGCACTATTGTACAAACATGAACCGGCCGCGGATTTGAGCTGCTGGCCTGCCATTCCTGCCTCGTGGGGGCTCGACTGTTGTACAAACATGAACCGGCCGCGGATTTGACCTGCTGACCTGCCATTCCTGCCTCGCGGGGGCTTGCGGCAGGCAATCTTTCAAACTAAACTTTGCACGTCTTGCGCCTGAGATTGGCCTGTACGGTCACGTGTCTCTGGCGAAGATGGGCTGGAGCCGGGCTGGCCGCGTCGCCGGGCTGTTGGCCGAGATAAAGCCAAGGCCGGGCCGGGCCACCCGCCTGGCGGCAGTAGCCAAGGAACACGAGCACATGTGGCCATTATGGCAGCAGGCGCAACACGTCTGCAGCCGCCCAGATGCGCACAGCGGCGATATCCGGCAGCTGCAGGGTGCCGCAGAACCGCAGCACCGGCACAGGGACGCCCCACCGCGGAGCGGGTCTCCAGGAGTGGAGGTTCTGTCTGCAGACGGAGCTCCCCGAGGCGGGTGTCAGGCCGCTCGGAACACGCCCTCGGGGGCCTCATGCCGCGCGCCGTGCGACGCGGAGCTAATGTGATGGCAGTAGTAGTTGACCGCGGGAGATTGCTTGAAAAACTGCGACTTATGGCGCGTTCCACATTCATTCCTCGGCCCGCCTGCGCCAGAGATCACGTGAGCGCATGGGCCCTGGGGCCGCAGGCGCTTGCTATCAACGTAGCGAACGGGGCACGTGTTGTGATTTGTGCCTGGCGTAGTCAGCGGCTATTGCACTGTTATGTCTCAGTTGGCTTTCGTCTCAGTTGACTGTGGAGAAAACACCCCCACGAGGCTCAGCCGGCGGATGATTTTTTAAAACATAGCACACGATATTCTTCTCGGCCATGTCACTAAACCAGACATGTGGAATGTACATGTCGATCGCCCGTGCTGTGGGTGCGAACCGGAACGGGGAGCGCGTGGACGGGGGTTACAACGACCACCGCGGCATGCACTTTGAATATGAGTAGTTGATGTGCACACCTGTGGTTGTAAACACGTATTAGAATATGACATTCGCTGGCTCAATCAGATGGCGCATTGGGCTGCAGTTTTGTTATGGAAAGAGGAACAGGCACCTGTGCGTAGCTTTTTAACCTGCCACAGTGCGTGTAATGTTTATTGATGTTGGACGCGCTAAAGCACAGATGAGTGATGAAGAACATCGTGCTATATGGAAGTTTATCAGATCGTCCAACTTTTCGCTGCAGTTTATTAAGCTATCACGACGCTGTCAAATATTATGTGGTTGCAGCTTGAACGTGTGAAAGATCTGTTTGACACTGGCTCATCATCGAACCAAATCGACGAGGCTCTCTGCATGGAATACTTTTCTACGAAACCGTGTATGAGCCACAGCAGGACGTACGGATCCGCAATGCGTCACATGCATGGAAGACCGCCGATGAACACAAATGTCACGCCGCATCGAACCCAGCTCGCAGATTAACTCACCGCTGGGCTGTTTTCATTTGTTTACATGCGAGCGATTTCTTCTCTTTTCCCCCAGCATCCGACGAAACGCGGTCAGCGTTCCACGTTGCATTTCCCGAGCGGGATAACTATCTCAGGTGGACACTCTTTTGTGGGAGTACATATCGACACCGCAGACGTCACCCTGGTGGGCCAGTCGAAGCTGCCCGCTCGAAAATCTTGTGTACGTGGATTGCGCAAAACGGGTCGAGCTGCAAACACAGCCAGCAAAGATTATTCGTGACGTTACGTAGAAAAAAAACCTTTTTGGTACGCTGCGGATGCACTCGATAAGGTCATTCTATGTTGTAACCCTGAGGCTTTTCCACCCTCTCTGAACAGTAGCAATGAGCGGTGCGTAAGGACTGGGACAAATAATTCGGCTTCTCTGGAACTCTACTCAGGCTGTATAGGCGCACCAAATTTCAATCAGTTTGTTTACTGTATTTTTCCCGTGGTGATGTATATTTGGGAAGTCGCGCCTTGTAATGATGGGTATGGAAAGAGATAGGTGACATACCAGACTGATCTCCGCCTCACCTCCTTCCCAACGGATGTGCCCCCACCGATCCGTTGTACGCCGCACCCCTCCCCTGGCACCGCTCGAGCCACGTACGTGACCTTTTCCCCGGCTGATCAGTGGCGTCCATGTTGACAGTGCAAGAGTGCCTGCAGCGAATGGTGGCAGGCAGCACACTGATCAAGATCAGACCCAACCTGCGCCAGTACCACCGCTTCTTCAGCGTCACTGAAGACCTGGCCGCGGTACGCTGGGTCCCCTCGAAGAAGTCCAACAAAGCCCAAGGTGAGGCCACAGTGACCCGGGAAGCCCCCCAAGCGGCGGCGGCAGCCTCGCGCGGGCCGCTGATATCGGCGCGGCGCGTGACGTCAGAGCGGGCGTTAACGGGTGGCGGCGCTGCACGAGTGGACGGACGGACGGCTGGTGGCGGACGTGGGGCTTGCACCGCCTGAGCGCCACTGATCGGGCATTGACAGGCAGTTACAAACAACTGCACGAACGCCGGCTATGAACATGTAATGCCGCCGGAAACACAGATTTGAACAGCTGCAGAATTCTCAGATTAACTGGGTCATAACGAGCAGCAAATAGACTCCTAAGCACGATGTCATTGAATATGTATACACAGTTCGGCATAAACACGTACGCACCAGGATGCTGCTTGCGAAATGCATCATTTGCGACGTTCCCATCCGCTTTTGATCCCCGGCTCGTCCGCGATACTGGCATGAAGCGGCCCTGTAGCAACGCGTGCTGGTCTGGTCGGGCAGGAGTGTACACACTGCGCTCCTGATCACTGTTGACAGAGGGGGGCCAGTATTGATCGCCACCCTATCTCTCCGCCTGGCTGCTTGGCTTATCCGAGCCAGACAGACAGGTTCTCATTCCGCTGCCAATGGTCGCCCGCGGGCTTTCATTCTATCCTCGCCCCGAAGGCGGCAGGCACACGACCGCTCAGATTCTGCCGCGGCAAAACATGACCATAACTCCTGAAAGCCGCTGCGCTTTTTCATTTCGCAGCGAACAAAAGACGGTCGGCGGCGATCATCTGGGGCTGGACAGGCTCGGCGCTGTGAGAGATGGCCGTCACGTAACGTGGCGCCCGCCGTGCTGGCGGTCTTTACATGACGTAGCGCATGCTGTGCTAGCGAACGTCATGTGACGTGACGCATGATGTGCTGGCGGCCGTCACGTGACGTGATTCATACCGTGCCGACGACCGTCACGTGGCCTGATTCATACCGTGCCGACGACCGTCACGTGGCCTGATTCCTGCCGTGCTGGCGGCCGTCACATGACGTGACGCCTGATGTGCTAGTGGTCGTCACGTGGCCTGATTCCTGCCGTGCTGGCGGCCGTCACGTGGCCTGATTCCTGCCGTGCCGGCGGCCATCACGTGACATGAGGCGGCCTGCCGTGCTGGCTGCTCACCTGCGTGTACGCCCATTGCAGTGCCCATCGACTCCATTAAAGAGATTCGCACTGGCAAGAACACGCCGATATTTCGGAACAAGGAGTTCAGTGGGGCTTACTGTGAAGAATGTGCCTTCTCGATCATTTATGGTGAAGACTACGAGTCCCTCGATCTGGTGGCCACGTCTCCGGATGAGGCCAACATCTGGATCACCGGGCTGAACGCCCTCATAGGTAAGTGGAGCTGGGCATAGAGGCGCCTTTGTAACAGTTCTGTATGGTGTTCCGCGATCCTTGTGGCAGGCCAAATGTCTGATAATTGTGCGGATGCTTACGGCTTCTGGAAATGGAAACCCGACCTTTCTATCAGGCCTTCCTGAGTTTCTACCAGTTTTTTTGCGGAGCGTCGTGGTCTTCTACAATATTCTGTATTTTGTTATTCCCGACATAATTACACAAACTTGCGGGGTAGCATGACCATGTGAACTATGAATGAAGCATTGTTACATCATAAGCACATGTACATTTCGCGTTCGAAAAGCTACCGACTTTAAAATTAGAACCCTTGCCATTCGCATTGTAGCTGCTGCTGGTCGATCCTCAAATTTACTCCTTCACAAAGTGCCCGTGATGAGTCTGGAACAAGCTGCAAGTGACTGCACTTGTGGTGGCGATGTCAAACTTGAGTCACAGCAGGCGGCCGGGTGGTATGGTTTCTGGCCGCCAAATGCTGATCGTTGCGCCGGAAGGCTTTGGAGAAGATATGGTTGGCGGCGGAGCGTGGCGCGCTAGGAGCGCTCGCCGACGTTGAGTGTGCTAGCTGCCGCCGCCACATGGTTCAGGACAGACGTTGCGTCGCTCTGTTACGCAATGGAACTTGCAGCTGCCCCTCGGCGCAAAAACTACGGGATCGTGTCAGGCAAATACATGTGGTGGGGACAGGCGCCGCAAGTCATGCATTGTCGGGGGCGGGGAGGGGGGTCGTGTGCAATTACAACAGACTGGGGCATCACGGTAAAGGATATGCTTCGCAGTGCCTGTCGCGAATGGTTGGTCGCATGCCTCTCACGTGCAGGCTACACCACATCCGCCGTACCTCCATTACCATCATTCACTTGAGTCTCGTTTGTAGCTGAATGTGCGGATAACGAGGCATGTTACGACCGTGCACGTCCTGTCATGTTGACGGCGGATCTGGCCGTCCGGTGCCTGCTGCTGCGTCCCAAGGGTGTTTTATGCATGATAATGTAGCTAGCGATGCAAGATTAACCAGAGGAGCGGAGCCCAGGCTTGGAGGTAGGGGAAGTCTTAGTTTGCACGTAGCTGGTATGCTTTTGAGCTCGCAGGCTAGCGACGTGCGCTCTCATAACATACAGATACAATTACGGAAAGCTCCATTTTGTTGTTTTTGAAATGTATGTTAACGCAGCTTTCTCCGTTCCGCCTACGCTGAGACTTCCGCACTGGTCCGAACATCATCCATGCTCAGAACGCCCATCATGTCATGCACGTTGGAAAACCGCAGTAAATTCCACACAATTGCCACGCCGTTGGGTTCCATACCACACTTTCGCGTAAACCGGCGGCCACCGCGCCACAGCTGACCCCACCAGCAGCGTCTGTGAGTCCATCACACGGCGCGACAGTGCCGCGCTGCCGCCGACCTCGCCGCAGCCAGGGCCGTTTGTGTCGAGGTCCTGGCACGGCGACCGCTGCCAGGCCGGGGCAGCGCGTCGGCGGCCGGCGCCGGCGTGCCGCTGATGACAGCTTCCCGGACGCGCCGGCGGCGGCACTGCACCCATTACCGGCCGGTTGTCTCTCTTGTGGCTGACGGGACGCGGCCCGTCGGCGGCCGGAGGGCGCGAGCCGAGGCTGCCGACGCGCCGGGGTGAGGCGAGGCTGCCGAGGCGCCGGAGTGGGGGCGATGCGGCCGAGGCGCCAAAGTGGGGCGAGGCTGCCGAGGCGCCGGAGTGGGGCGAGATGGCCGACGCCCGGGGTGTGTGTGGGGGGGGGGGGGGGGCAGGGGATTCATCGGCCTGCCGTGTCAACGACCGTCGAGCGCGGCCAAACATCGACACAACACATGGCGTCAATGAAATCAATTGATGCCGGTAGATAATCCCAACTGGTTTGGATTGGTTGTTCATAACCCCGTACACAGTCAGTACGCATAATTTGTCATGTTTGCGGAGGCAGTTCTTTGTGTTTTTGGAGGTCTTGGAATCGTTCCAAATTGTACGGCTGAAAAACATCAAGACCGAAGCATTTAACATGGATACATAAACCGATGCGTGCCGTTAATGTTATGGACATGTTGACTATTGCAGCCCGTAGGAGAACCGATTGATCTGTTACTGTTCAGCCGACTTGTACTTACGACGCGGCCGTACATGTGTATGTCTACGTTCCTGTGCTTGACTTTTTCTTTCATGCATGTCAAGCATTCCAAAGAAACTCCCCTCCCAAAAACACACTGGTGTTCTCTGACTGCACCTACCTAGATGTTCTCTGGCCGCACGCACTGGCGGTTCTCAAAGTAGTTAATTGATGCGCTGATAGGGTAGAGGCGGGGGAGGCACCGTCTCCTTTCAGCAGCCAAATAATGATAGATGGACACCATCATTGGCATGACTCACCCGGAATAATGCATAGCTGTTCCATTCTCCCCTCCGAGCCTCGGTGGTCGGTGAACGGCGATAATGACCATCCACAGCAGCTTGCGCTGCGTTCCCTTAAAGACAAAATACACAGCACGAGGGTATGCTGTGAGGCGTTTGGCTTTCCGACTAGTATTTGGCTTCAGATGAGCCTACATGCACTTTATCAAGGTTCTCAGCAGCCGGGGCAGCCTGACACGTCATTAAACAAAGTCAGAATGAGATGGCGTGTGATTGTTTTCCCAGTACTGGAAAGTCTGCTCCGTTTTCTTTACATTGTTTCACTGTTCAGAGCGTCAACATTAATACGAGACCTAGTCCGACAGTGGATGTCATGGCTTCGCTAGTATTCAGTCTTTGTTTCCTGCTTTTCTTTGACATATGTTTTGGGTTTTCGGCTGTCATACCTCGACTCTTTTGAATGCATCAAATGATTTGCGGTGTTTCCGAAATGTGTCAGAAAGTGAAATTAACTCAACACTCTCACGCCCTTCATAACAAGCCTGGTCTGTGGGCTTTTACGCAGAGTTATGAGCTTCAGATTTAGAGGGCTGTAAATGATCAGATCATCAATGAAGGTGTCGGCGTGGCAAACATTTATGATGAGTGCGTTTGATGAAATATTTCGTCGCAGACACAGACACGTATGGCTATTCGTGGGACCCGCGATTGACTTGCGGTTTTGACGACCTCTCGTGAAAAAATATACCCCGAGAAACATATGTGCAAGTCAAACGCGCCACTGCAGCTCGAAGGGCACAGTGATGGCAGCCAACCATACAACGCCATATGCAATGTATGTAATATATGTCATACAATCGAGCAGGATTGGGAAGAGCGTGTACGTCGGTCTGACGCGGGCGGTACGTTTAACAAACCAATGAGGCATGTGCTTTTAATTCCTCGTCTTACGTTCGCGTAAATCGGAAAGTGGCGGGGAGGTGCGTCCAGTCTGCCCCTCGTTTAAGTGGAATAGCGATGTCATGTTTTGTGGTGTTCTCTGACGGGCTCAAGTTTAGGGTTTGTACGTACAGTTGCGTGTACCTTTGAGTGCCACACTTCTGGAGTTAGAGCACCTGGCCCTGCAGACTCGCCGACCTGCAATGGTCATGTTTGTGGTGGGTAGGTTTTGGATGCAATACTTTTAAGGCCAGGTTTAGAGCGTGTCAACGACAAGTGAGAAATACGAATGTTTCACATCCAGAGGAAAATCGGTGCGGGGTTCTGAGGTCGACAGAAGGGAATCGCTTGTCTGTGATGGTCCACCTGTCCGATGGAACCGTTCTTCCACTGTAGCTCTCAACGTTTACGGTATCCTACTCTTGTATGTTCTTGGTAAAACACTCTCTGGAGGCCGCTATGTTATGGCCATGCATCGCTTCCATCATAGACGGTATCGCTCTGTTAGCATGGTGTCACGTCCGGAGAAATTCATCGCTGTTTAAACCGTCATCGGCCTTGGCTGGAACTCGGGACAAAGCCTAGTTCATGGAACATATTCAGAACATGGCAAAAGTGGTCGGAAAGCAGAAAATGTTTTTCGTTCCTTGCTTCAGTTTGCGTTCAGTTCACTGTGTTCACCAGACTCAAGTTCTGTCAATGTTAAGGCAAGCTTAACTATGCATATATATATATATATATATATATATATATATATATATATATATATATATATAAATATGCGTGTGCGCACACACATACATATATATATATAAATATATATATATATACATACATATACGGGTAAATGTACGCGTATATGCGTGTGTGGGCATGTGGGGGCGAGTAAATGTTGCTGTGATAGCTGTGTTATGCACGTAGTGCTACCTTGTAACGTCACCAAAATCGACGCAGCCCGTGCAGTTTCATCGGCACAACACTGCTGAGGTTCGAAGGGGTAAAGGGTGCCGATGATAATGTCTCTCTCAGCGACCGTGGTCCAAGGGGAACAACGACGGGTACGGAACACCTTTGTCAAGGGTGTTCGGTAGCGTTACGTGGAACCCAGAAAACAACATACATTCTTTTATGGAAGCCTAAGGCGTGCCACAGAGCGGTGGGTTTTCCAGGCAACTCATGAAACAGAAACAGCCAAGGGTAGCCAAACATTTGTTGTTTTTCATGATTTCACGGAAGTCCCTCATAGATCAGATGTCCTTTAAATATCAGTGGGCCTCGAAACAGGTCCCTGGAAGTCCAAGATGAAGACAGCCAGTCGACATGAAAACAGACAGTCTCAATATGATCCTTAAACGTTCCAAACGACTTCAGATGGCTTCGAGCGGGCCCGCGCCTCTGTGTCACGATATTCCTTGAAGGAGGTTAGTTTCCGTGAAGACTGAGGGAATACGGCCGGGACCTGGGTTCTCACGCGCCCCATGAGGTGGCCAGGCTGCCCGAGATCTTCAAGGGACACTTGCGACAGTGAAACAGTCCGAAGGTAGTGTAATGACCCAGAGATGAAGAAGGCTGTTTGGGGGGGGGGGGGGCTGTTTAGAAGGATGGAGAAGGGGACTTCAACGGCCGAAAGCCCTGCAGTTTTCAGGGATGCCTGAGGTATTCACAGAGCTTGTGAAGTGCCCGAGGAGCCTGCGATGCGGTCGCATCGGATCACACCGAAGTTAATTGGCAGCACTGGGGCTATGGTCTCATGGAGCACTTTTCTTATTGGCTTACTTAGCGGTCACTTGTTAATGACATGATTTTCGGAGAGTGGCGGATCGAATTGCATGCGGTCAGTATCGATGACTGACCCCAGAAGATCTTGTCATTATTTTGTACTGGTTTATCACTTATCGTCTGGGGGAGCTGAGATCTCATAGCGGACGGGGTCAAAGTTCTCTGGCACGGAGCACCTTGAATCTTCCACCTTCCATGCCACGCAGCGCGTTCGCAGTGGCGCAGCTAGTGACGTGCCGCACCCATAAGAGAAATATTGCGTTTGAGCACGGGCCAACCCAAAGCTTTTCTGTCAGTTTCTTACAGAACATTGTTTATTTTGGGCTGGAAATTATTTATGCTATCTGCACAATGCGTATTCATTTCCTTGACAGCTTTCCCAAAAAATTCTGCGCGAAGACCTTCTTAATTCGAAGTACGTTTGCTTTAGGAACATGTGCGCCGCAACGTTTCCAGTTATAGGCCGCCGAATGTCAGTGGAAATTTACATTTTAATTCCTTTCGTCGAATCTAGACAACGTCTAGCACCAGGCCGAAATCCTTATAGATAACTTTCCTCCGTCTTCTTTTACCGTACGTCACGTGACAGTTGCCTGCAGACCATTCTGTGGAACCCAAGACGGCGAATGCCTGCTGAGATGGCGAGGAAGCTCTTGACACTTGATACTCCAGCATGAGTAACGTGACTCCCTAGACGAAACAATCCCGCTTTGACTGCTATTTGCATCGCTCTGAGTTGTAGGTCCCGTGCTCGGGAAGTGCAAGAGCGATAGTTAAGTTGGTCCGGATATAACGGATAGCATGGCTCACGTGCGGGTAGCATGGCTTCAGAACGGTATATGCCGAATGGCCATTTTGCGGCGCGTAGCCTCACTTGATTTGCTGCAGCAACCCAGGTTTGTGGGAAGTTAACGAGCAATATAAAGCAGTATCTGTTTGTAAACAGTGTGGGTAATGGACGCGGTCAAAAACAAGTCATGCTAAACGGCGAAAAGTGAAAGCAAAAGCTAATGCCATGAAAGTTAAACTTTCCGTCGTTTTTCGTGATTGTCACAGTCAGTAGCACACTCACAATGTTTGTGGAAGGTGTCGTTAAGCATAAACAAAGTGATCTCAGTGTGGCAATTACGTCACTCAGCGTTCAGTTTAAGGGTTGACCCATTTTAATATTTTAATTGTCACCGTTTTCGTGACTTCACGAGCGCGCTGTTAATTATCGAAAAGGTATGGAAAACACGTCTAGGTAATATGCGCCTACAAAGAAATAACGATGACACAAAAAGGCGAGCAGCACGTCCTGTATCACTTCATGTAACAAAATAAGGACATTGCAGTATATGTCATCTCAAATAAATGTTATAATAATCAGTTTATCTGATAGACTGTGGACGAGTGCTTCGACAAAGCAACGAGAGACTGGCCAGGCTTAGAGCACCTTTTGTCTCCTTGCTAAAATGCTAACCGATGGCCCGGAACATTCAGCATCAGCCATTTCTGGCACGAGATCGTGATCAAGCTCGAGGTTGCGACACCCTTCGCTATTGATCGCGTTCTCGTGAACTGATAATTGCTATCGCATGTCTCTGGCTTCAAATGTGACCAAAAATGGGGACGGGGCATCTGCTGGCGGTTGCTATTCTGGGGAACGATCGACACATGCCGAGTCGGCGCCAGAAATAAGTAAGCTTACGACACGTGCCACCGTGCTGAACGCACCACCATGTACGTGGCATTACTGAATGTGCGCTGTTGCCAATGTGTGTGGCGAGCAACCCACCGAGAAGCGGCTGGCATAAGAGCGTATGTAGGGCGATAAAGAGGTGTATTAGCAGGCAGTATAGGGCGATGCGATTTATTGCAGTCGCGAAAACGGTATTTCTACGAACGGGATCGCTTGCGATATGGGACTGGTTTCACCGCTATATGCGGGACTGAATGGTGACATAAGGTGATGCCTGGTTAGTACAGGACCGCTTGCTGAACGTTTGCCAGCGTTATAAACCATTGTCGAGGTGTATTCGCTCTCATTAGCGTCATCTCTATGGATGCTTGCCCCACCAATGCGAGCAGGTGACGCAGCGAGCCAGGTCGCGTGCCTGCGCAACACGCTTAGGTAACTAACCCACACAAAATAAATTTCGCAAGTTTTTTGTTTGTCTGTTTGTTTGCTTGTTTTGAGCTGCTGAAATCATCCATCAAACTTGCATCGGCATAGCTTTCACAGTGGTAACAGCAGGCGGATCACGTCCCCACCGAACTTTTCGTGAAAGTCGAGGTTAACCTTTTGACGGCGCATGGATATATTCCCAAACCGGGCGTTTCTGAGCCGTTTAGTTTCCATGTGCAGCGCCTTAAAACTCCGTCAGTCGTCGGTCTGGGTGCCTGCGGACTGCGGTTTATGTCAACAGCGTACCTGCAAAACTCCGTGTGTGGAGTTTCACAGGTCCGCTGTCCTTCTATCCGTCTATGGATGCAGATTTGTACTACCTCGTTTGATGGTTCGTCCATATGACCAGTCCGGCTGTTTGAATTGCCGTTGCATTATCATGTACTTCCGTGTGTGCTGACCGTCCCTCCCGCGTGTGCTGACCGGTCCTTCCTTGTGTGCTGACCGGCTCTTCCGTTTGCGCTGACCGACCTTTCCATGTGTGCTGACCGACCTTTCCATGTGTGCTGACCGTCCCTTCCGTGTGTGCTGACCGTCCCTCCCGCGTGTGCTGACCGGCCCTTCTGTGTGTGCTGACCGGCCCTTCCGTTTGTGCTGACCGTCCCTTCCGTTTGTGCTGACCGTCCTTTCCGTGAGTGCTGGCTGTCCCTTCCGTGAGTGCTGACCGTCCCTTCCGTGTGTGCTGACCGTCCCTTCCGTGTGTGCTGACCGTCCCTTCCGTGAGTGCTGACCGTCCCTTCTGTGTGTGCTGACCGGCCCTTCCGTTTGTGCTGACCGTCCCTTCCGTGAGTGCTGGCTGTCCCTTCCGTGAGTGCTGACCGTCCCTTCCGTGTGTGCTGACCGTCCCTTCCGTGAGTGCTGACTGTCCCTTCCGTGAGTGCTGACCGGCCCTTCCGTACCGCCAGCACCGGACGGCATGGACGGCAAGGCGGCGGTGCGCGAGCGGTGGCTGGGCGAGATGTTCGCACGCGCCGCCGGCGACACGCTGGGCCTGCTGGACGAGCGGGCCGCCATCGAGCTGATGCGTCGACTGAACTCACAGATCACTACCGGCAGGATCAAACAGAAGCTGGCGGTGAGTGGCGTCGCTGGCGGCGGGCCAGACAGCGGCGGACGGGGTGCGGGGTCGAGCGGTGCGGCGAACGGTGGGTGGCCCTGTCGGAGAAGGGTCGGGCGGGAGCGGACCGTGAAGGGTTTGGCTGGCCGAGGGTCAGACAGATACGGATGGGGGCTGGTCTGGTCGGTGAGTGGTCAAATCTAAACTGATGGTAAGTGGTCAGACTGGGGGATAGAAGGCAAACAGAAGCTGGTTACGCCCGAATTAACGTCCTTCCCAGCGCTGCACGCTGTTTCCTTTTACTTCTGATTGTGACATCGCCGGTCCGATGGCTGGCATCGCCGGTGGCTGCCGTCCGATGGTGCCATCGCCGGTGGCTGCCATCCGATGGTGCCATCGCCGGTGACTGCCGGGCGATCGGTGTCATCGCCGGTGACTGCCGTCCGATGGGTGCCATCGCCGGTGGCTGCCGTCCGATGGGTGCCATCGCTGGTGACTGCCGGGTGATGGCGTCAACTTGGGCAGAACCACCAGTGAACCGCGGCCCGACCAGCACGGGAGTCTGCGGTAGATACGCCCTTGCATGTTATGATACGTGATGTTGTTGAGTAAGCGTCGAATCACATGTCCCAACTCCGCTGGAGGCTGCCAAATAGCGACGTATGAGCGCCACAATAACTGAGACGACTAAACCCGTTTTCGAGTAGGTTCTATCCACGCATTACTGCATGATCGTATCACACTTTCCCAGAGCTGGAGAGCGCCCCCCCCCCCCCGTCCTCCACCGTTGCTACGCCCACGCTGCCAGGCCCTATACAGCCCGACGTGTCAACATCCTGACCAGAACAACGGTCCGGCCACATCCCGAACCGCACTGCGTGACCACGCCGCTGGCCAGCGCGGCAGGCCCAGCTGTGTGCGGTCTATGGGTCGCCCCGAACGGCTCTAAATGCGGCTATAGATCGGACAACCCCGGGTGCGGCCCACATCGATGTCGCCATGGTTTCATGGTCGGCGAATAATGCGGCGGCAGTGAAGGGTTGGTCGGCGGAGGAAAGCGGTTTGACTCATGCCGCGCGGCGTAAGACATCGACACATTCTGGCGCACGTGCGTTCAAGGTTTGCCGTCGCAGGGGCATTCGCCACCTCTCATTTGCAACGGACATTGAACCCCTTCCCTTCCCCCCCCCCCCCCCCACCGTCCTCTTCGTTGGTCGTCTCCTGAACTAATAGTCTAATGAATGCCGTGCCGACAAAAGACACGCCCAAATGTTAGCACCCCAGGCATATGTCAGATTGTCGGCCTTCAGTTCTCTGGTGGCGGTCCAGGTCTGATCGTCTGAAACGTTGCTTCACAACTTCATTCAAATTGCATATTTAGTGAAATGAAATGTGCCGATGCTTTAAGTGCAAGTAGAACGTCAGGACGCCTCCTATATGTTAGATGCATATTTTTGGACTGGTAGGACCACGGGCCTCGTTAGGTTGTGTCATATCGAACTATTCCGACGTTTTTTTTCTTCTTTGAAGTGTCTGCATGCGCCTTTGTGACGCACAGCCATATGGGGGAGCGCAGCAAACCGTTGCCCGAGGTAGGACTGACTGAGAGACTGGCAGTGGCTGTTGTGCCTCCTTCCCTGCCTGTGCTCTGCTGTTGTACACTCGGGCTAGTCTCTGCTTGCCGCCAGCCACTAGCGCTGCTGCGGCCGTCGTCCGGACCGGTCGGCTGGCAGCTGGCACCAGCTCGGTGACGGCGTGGGGCGCCCACACCGGTAGGGACCTGTTGCGACCAGCACGGCCAGGGGCTCCACTGATACACCGGCGCTGTGGTGGAAAGGCAACCGAACCTCTGCCACCGCCGCTGGAGATGGCGGCAGAACCTCTGCCACCGCTGCTGGTGAAGGTGGCCGAACCTCTACCACCGCTGCTGGTGAAGGTGGCCGAACCTCTGTCACCGTTGCTAGAGATGACGGCCGACCTGCCACTGGCGGCAGACAGTAGACAGTAGACATTATGGGCGCATCGGCTGAGCCAGCGAACGAGGGATATGTTCATAGTGTAAGCGGATGTCCCGTCGGCTGCTGCTGGTGGGCTGCGGGGCCACGTCGGCTGCTGCTGGTGGGCTGCGGGGCCGCGTCGGCTGCTATTGGTGGATTGTGAAGCCGCGTCGGCTGCTATTGATGGATTGTGAAGCCGTGTCCGCTTTTGCCGGTGACGGGGGCCTGCAAACGGACCGTGTCAACTGCTGTTGGTGACCGGAGCTGGAAAATATTCCCTGCCCACTGCTATTGATGACCAGAGCCGGATGGTATCCCCTGCCGGCTTCTGTTGATGACTGGAGCCGGATGGTGTCCCTTGCCGGCTGCTGTTGACGACTGGAGCCGTATGGTATCCCCTGCCGGCTGCTGTTGATGACTGGAGCCGGATGGTGCCCATTGCCGGCTGCTGTTGACGACTGGAGCCGGATGGTATCCCCTGCCGGCTGTTGTTGACGACTGGAGCCGGATGGTATTCCCTACCGGCTGCTGTTGACGACTGGAGCCGAATGGTATCCCCTACCAGCTGCTATTGATGACCGGAGCCGGATGGTATTCCCTGACGGCTGCTGTTGATGACTGGAGCCGGATGGTGTCCCTTGCCGGCTTCTGTTGATGACTGGAGCCGGATGGTATCCCCTGCCGGCTGCTGTTTATGACTGGAGCCGGATGGTATCCCTTGCCGGCTGCTGTTGATGACTGCAGCCGGATGGTATCCCCTGCCGACTGCTGTTGATGACTGGAGCCGGATGGTGTCCATTGCCGGCTTTTGTTGATGACTGGAGCCGGATGGTATCCCCTGCCGGCTGCTATTGATGACTGGAGCCGGATGGTATCTCTTGCCGGCTGCTGTTGATGACTGGAGCCGGATGGTATCCCCTGCCGACTGCTGTTGATGACTGCAGCCGGATGGTATCCCCTGCCGACTGCTGTTGATGACTTGAGCCGGATGGTATCTCCCGTCGGCTGCGGTTGATGACAGGAGCCGCATGGTATCCCCTGCTGGCTGCTGTTGATGACTGGAGACGGATGGTATCCCCTGCCGGCTGCTGTTTATGACTGGAGCCGGATGGTATCCCCTGCCGGCTGGTGGTGATGACTGGAGCCGGATGGTATCCCTTGTTGGCCTCTGTTAATGACTGGAGGCGGATGGTATCCCCTGCTGGCTTCTGTTGATGACTGGAGCCGGGTGGTATCCCCTACCGACTGCTGTTGACGGCTGGAGCCGGATGGTATCTCCTGCTGGCTGCTCCGGACGGTATCCCCTGCCGACCACTGTTGATGACTGGAGCCGGATGGTATCCCCCGCCGGCTGCTGTCGAGCATTGTCAGCCTAGCTGGCAGCTTGCGTTAGCTCTGCCCTCCCAACAGATGACGCCGACGACCATCGATCGAGCCGGCCCCATCTATCACGGCTAAGCGATAGGAAGCTGGTGTATCTCCAAGGGCTCTTTGGCATGACGTTGTCCATTTATTCCGCCAATCGTTACACGTCCCTTCGGAACAGTTGACCGGTAGTTGCAGTGTCGTAGAGCTTCGCCGGTTAGATGTCTTATGGGAGTGGGGAAAGGCTGAGCTGAGCTGAGCGCTCGGCGGCCGGTGTATGTCTGTCGTTTTCCTCACCCTTTCTTTCATTTTCGGTTCAACGACGGTACCTTTTTGGCAACTCGTTTATCAGTAATAAAATATTTTGCATATCCATGTTGGCATTGCGTGGTTCGGAAAGGAGTAACTTCTTACATTCCCAGGAGTGTTTCTCACTGTTCCCTATTATCACGGGTGTGAGCACAGCCACCTCGTTTGTGATCGACCGGCCTCCCCTCGATGGGTGTTTCCCGGTACCAGGGTCGAGTCGGAGCGGTCGAGAGACGCCCTGTGTTGAAAGTGCACGGCCGGTCGATCCACGCGGCGGCACGGGCGCACGGCTTCAGCCTCCGGTCAGTCGAGGTGTCGTCGAGGCACGTCGGCAAGGGCTCGTGGCTTGCGAACTCTCTGGGGGCGGCCGCCGGACGCCGGCACCAGCTGTCGACAGCGTCGAACGCCTCCGCTGCTCCGTGGGAACGGTGGCGCCGGTTATTGTGACACCGGTCGGGACGGCAGCGGCGGCACCCATATCCGGAACGGCTATCGACGATCGTATTATGGTCTGCGGAGCCCATCGTGTCTATTTGTGGTGCGCATTGATTCCCGCCCGACGCTTGGAGGCCGGCTCACAAGTGGGTCAGCTGGGAAGGTAGTTTCCCGGCGGCACGGGAACAGCTGAGCCGGCCGTGTTCCCCGTCAGCGCTCCGAGCGCTCAGCTGCAGCCTCCTGCGCCAAGTTGGCCCCCGGCCCATCTCCGGGGCGAAGTGTGCACAGGCTCGTACGCGCGCCGTCCTCTAGCTCGCGCTGCCGGCCGCAGTGCGCTCCTATCTCGATCGCGATCTGCGGCCGCGTTGCTGGGCCAAGCCTTACCGCGAGCCGCCGCCGGCGGTCTCGCCAACCGACATCACTCCTAACACATTGCCACGGCGGCTGGAGCGAGGGGGAGTGGGGCGCTCTGTCGCGATGGATGGCCTCGTCCGCCGGCGGCTAATAGCAACGTCGTTAGCCGCCCTGCGACCCACCGGGTCGGGCGGTCCGGTCCGACTCTGTGCCGTCCGGGGCTTTTTACGTGGCGGCCGAGCAGGGCCGCCCTGGGACCCATCGGGGCGGACGGTCCGGTCCGACCCGGTCCGGTCCGGGGATATGTACGCGCCAGCCGGACAGGGCCGGCTACACGCCGACCCGTCCCATGCTGCCCTCGTCGAACCCTGACATGGGAGGTGAGAGTGGTAAAATTACGGTGGATGGTATACGATGCTGAAATGAGATGGCGCGGGATATGGCCACCTGACATTCGTGACTAACTTATGGTCGGCGTTGACGTGCTGCGAAAGTTCTGCTGAGGCTTAAGTTTGTAATTATGATATACGCGCTCATGTTCACCGCTGGGGTAACGGC